AAATGAAATATTCTCAGTTCAGAGACTATATTGTGCAGGTTCATAATTGAGTCTACCGTGGAGGAGAGGCCCCTAAACCAAAATACCTTTCCACAACCTGTTGACTGAAGATTCCTGAATCAGGAGAAGAATCTAACTCTGTGTATCTCCTATTCTGAGCTACATTTCTAAAATCACCCCTAACAAGGCTTCTTCATCTTCTCTTGGGGGCCAAATTCATAACTGGGCTCAAAGTTAAATGTCTATATGTGTGTGAGTGTGTGTCTGTTGGGGTGGATGGGACAGTGAAGTAAATATTACTACTATTTACTGATACCCAGTTCCTATGTCTGGTATTCAGAACTTCCCTGTCCCTTTGATGTTAGCTTTGGCTATAAGACTTGCTCTGGCCAATAAAATTGAGCAAAAGTGATGAGAATCTGTTTTTTGCTGAAGCATTGAAGAACGAACCCATGTGTGGTTCTCCAAGCTCTTGTCCCCATTACTATGACCTACAAAATTCCACATGGAGGAGCCTCCATCAGCCTGGGTCTCTGAGTAAAGATTACATGAGTCAGAGCCCTCCACCAGTGGGTATGTGGTGTAAGCAAGAAATAAACCTCCATTGTTTTTGGTTACTGACACCTAGGGAATGTTTGTTACTGCAGCATAACACACTGTCCTGACTAATACAGGCAACAAAAAAGAGCTGCTTTCATTTCTGGGTCCAGTTCTTCCTCAACACACTTAAAAATTCTCTATTAATTATTGAGGCAACTGACAACCCAAATCAAACTTGATCTGACCATGTTGCAGAACCCGCCTCTTAGAACACGAAGAAAACATAAAGAAAAAAACTGCCTAGAATGTAGATTCTTCATACTGAAGTATATAAGCGGATCCCCCTTTCCTTCCCCTCCTATGTCCTAAAAACATACATTGGAGCCTCATATCCATGAAAATAAAATAAAAGATGAGAATAGACAACTTTCCAAAAATCATCCCATTCCTTAAATATTTAAATATGGGACATCGAGTGTTTACCATACTTGATATGTACAGTTGTCCCTCAGTATCAACAAGGATTGGTTCCAGGATCCCTGCAAGTACCAAAATCCACAGACACTCAAGTCCCTTATATAAAATGACGTAGTACTTGCATATAACCTATTCACATCCTCTCATATACTTTACTTCATCTCTAGGTTACTTATAATACCTAATACAATGTAAATGCTATGTAAATAGTTATTATACTGTGGTGTTTAGGGAATAATGACAAGAAAAAGAAGTCTGTAAATGTTCAGCACAGATGTAACCATCATAGGCCTTTCCATCCGTGGTTGGTTGAACCCACAGATACGGAGCGTCGACTGCACTCTCCATGCACATTTCTCCATGTGCACTGCATGCCAGTAGGAAGCTGGTCTTCATGCAGACAGCTAGTGTACCACTGAAGGCTTTCTCCATCGAAGTATATTGAACATATTGAGCAAAATTTGAGCCTTCTGTTTCTCAGCAACAAAGCTCCTGCTAGGATCTGACTTGGCTATGGACTGCACATTCTTCGGATGCTATTTAGGGAGCAACATAGGATAATCCACCTCTAATGTGTTTACCAGGTCAATTTTCTGCATAGTTACAAAGCTAATTTCTCCTTACAGCCATCCTACAAAGATCTTAAAATGTGACTACACCACAAGTTTGAAAGACTCTCAAAAAGAGCTAAACCACCTGCCAAATGCAATGGCAAATGTCCCTCAAAAAAACACAGAAAACAAAAAGTCTTCATAAAAAGATGCTCCTGCCCAAAGTTTCTATGAAATAATGATGATGCAGCCCCAAAGGAGGTAGGATTTTGGAGAGAGAAAAATAAAAGAGAAACACATTTGGAGCCAAAGCACTGAGTTTTTCCCATTGTATTACATGAAAAAGATGGATCTGGAGGCAATTTAACAAGTTTAAATTACAACTTGGAAAGTAATAAGCTTTGGCTCCTGAGATGTGCAACCAACTGGGAATGGACTGGCAAAAAACTCTGTATTTCACATTTCTCAGCTAAATCCCAGACTCACATGCAACACTTAACATTCAGGGGATAATATGTGAATTTATGAATCTTCACACACAGTTTAAGAAGCTGAAATCACTAAAATGACTGCCTAAGATATAAATAAGCTATTGTGCATCATGCAAAATACTGATAAAGGGGTTTTAATGGATACTTTGATTTTAACACATGATTCAGAAGACAGCATGTGCAAATATAAACACCAGCATATTCACAAGCATAATTAATTTTACACCTTTGCACGTCCGGTTGAGGTGAATTTCTGCACATAGTCCCAGGGAGATGGCCACAAGCCAAGCGTCCCCTCATGTTTTTATTGTTTTATCAGTCAGAGCAGGCTAACAACTTCTTTAACTAATAACCAACATTTTAGTGGCTCGACAAAATAAAGGTTTATTTTTTGCTCATGCAAAACTCCAAGGTTAAGCTTCCTGGTCAGGCAGCTGTCCTCCAAGCCACAGGTCAAGAACCAGGGCTCCCTCAGCTTGTGGCTCCACTCTCCTCTCAGAACAGCAAGCCTTCTCCACTGGATGGCCAGACTAGGAGAATGGAAGATCCTCGGCACATTTAATGGGCTGGGCTTAGACAAGGAATATATCACTTCCGCCACATTTCAGTGGTCAGAACTCAGTCATATGGACACCTACCTGCCAAGGAGCCTGGGAAATGTAATCTAGCTGTGTGTCCAGGAGGGAAAGGGAAAAGATTTGGCAGCTCCTTTGCCTCTTTGCTTGCAAGACGTAACCTCTCTGTCTGTTTAATGTTCTATAAAATGTGCACCTATAGAAATTGCACCTACTTATTATTATTCCTACTCCATTTTTTCCCAGGGATCCAAAACTGACCAGACTCAGAACTGACTTGAATTTTAAGAGACTTAGGAATAAGCAAGATTGCCAGTTTATTTCTATCGGAGGCTAGAACTTATCAGTCACCAGCTAGAACACCCCTGTTATGGACCAAATGTTTGTGTTCCCCCAAAATTCATATGTTGAAATCTAGTCTCCAATGTGATGGCATGTGGAGGTGGGGCCTTTGGGAGGTAGTTAGGTCATGAGAGTGGAGCCCTCATGAGTGGGATTAGTACCCTTATAAGAAGAGGCTGGAGAGCGGGCTTTCTCTTTCCACCAAGTGAGGACACAGCAAGGAGGGAGCTGGCTGGAACCTGGAAGAGAGCTCTCAGAACACCAAATCAGCCGGCACCTTGATCTTGGATTTCTCAGCCTCCAGAACGGTAAGAAATAAATTTCTGTTGTGGATAAGCCACTCAGTTTATGGTATTTTGTTATAGCAGTCCAAGCTAACTAAGACAACCCCTTTCTTGAGTCAAGGTGTCTAAAACGCAAAATAAGCCATCAGAAGGTGACATTCTGAGCAGAGGATAAGAGAAAAGGACACGGGCGAGTCTGAGGTGTGTTTTTTTCTACATCAGTTATTTCTTAGCCTGGAACTACTGACATTTTGGGCTGGATAGCTCTTTGTGGTAGGGCTGTCCCATGCCTCAGAGGAAGTTTAGCAGCATCCCTGGCCTCTACTCTCTAGATGCCATTAAGACCTCCTCAGTTGTGAAGACGAAAAGTGTCTCCAGACACTGCTAAATGTCCCCTGCAGGGCTAGATTCCACCCCTCATCTTTGAGAACCACTATTCTAGATCATGAAAAAGTATAATAAACCAACACAACCCAGTATATGGCTGGAAAACTCCTATATGCCAGGGACAGTGCCTGCCTATCTTTTGGTCTGTCTTTGTCTCTCTCCATCTCTCTATCTCTGTCTCTCAGACAGTCTGGGAAAACACTGCCATGTACCTGCTCTATGGCTCCCCTTTGTTTAGCTTTCATGTGGCTCATCTTCCTCAAAGGACACATGCTTCCTTCAGATGTGTTGGTGCTGCTGTTGAGGCGACATGTCTTTCCTATACAGTGAGAGCTGTCAGGGGCTTTGTCTGTGTCTCCCATTCTCCCAGGAGAACATCAATGTTACACGTTTTGTTAGGGAGTAAATTATGAAACAAGTTTCCAACAAAAGGCAAATGGATTGGGGCTTTTATACCAAAGTCCCTCAAATGTCACATATTCTCAACAGCTAAAGGTGTTTCCAAGGATGCAGTCAAGAGATGATATTTGCAACCTCATCGTAGAGCACTTATTCAAAGCATTATCCAGTTTAGGAAAATGCATTCCCTTTAAATTTCCTATAAAAACTCAAATAGAAAAATATCTTTAAATCTTGGTCCAAATCATGACACTACATTTTCTCCCTTTAACTAGCTGTTGCATTTCAGCAATTAGAGAAAGACTCTCTGATGTTGGTGTAACTGTACAAAGTTCCAAGTGTTTCAAGTTGAAATGTGCAAAGGGACTTACTCATTACTTTCGTTGCTAAAAGGAGAATCTTTGATAAGGGGAAAAAAAGCTGTTCAAAGCCAAAGAATTCCTTTATTTGACTATAGTGGATTAGCTCCAGGAAGACAATGTTTGGAAAGCCCAAGCTATTTAATGAATATTACACCAACACTGCAGTAAGAACTGTGAGCTTTTCTTCATTTCAATTTATTTTTAAACTAAAAGTTAAAAAAAATAATAATCACCATCCATGTACCAAATGTCTATTATTTCCTAGGCCACTTAAGTTGATTATCTGCAATGCTTACAAATACCCTGTAAGTAGGTATTTATACCATATTTTTAAAAGATGAACAAATAGAAGCTTAGAGAAGGAGAGTGATTTGCCCCGAGATGCACAGCTTGGTAAATACATAGCTGGGTCTTGAAGCCAAATCCCCCTGACTCCAAAGCCCTCCATGTTTGTGCTATTTCCACCAAGCCATGATGGTTCCATAGGAAGTTAATTTACTGAAAATTCCATGCTGGCAATCACAGGCACGTCTACACACCAAAATCTAAATGTCACTATGGTAATAGGTATTTTAATTTTCATTTCCTTGCCTGGCAGTTCTCCTCAACTGGATAACATATTGGGTTCTGCATAAGTATATGAAATTGAATCCCAGTGATCCAGAAAGTGTTTATTCATTACTATCTTGGAATAGTTGCAAAATAGTATTATTAAGAAGTACACTTCTGACAACAACCTGATTTGTATTTATCCCCCAACTTACTCATGGTCTCTTCTCTAAGAGTCTGAGCAGAGAGAATGAAATAGAATGTTTCTCTTTCTCATTTCACCCCGTGGAGTAAGTGCATGAGCTAATGAGGGAGGTGGCTCCTCTGAAGAGCGCACCCACGGCTGGGCTGTGGTGTTCACACTAATTACAATGAGAATCTGTCCTGCTGCCCAGTGGGCTCAAGTCACCATGGCAACCTACCAGCAACATCGCTCACACAAATTACAGCAAAGAAGCAACCACTGGCTCCACCCGGAAACTGCAGCGGTCACACAAAGAAGGAAATATTTCTCAAGGACACTTTGCTCTTAAGTAGCCACTGGCAACACTGCATCTGTCCAGCTTTATCACCAAAATAAACGTCAGTTCACTTCTACCGACTGGTGTTAAAAGTTGTTAAACATAATACACTTGAACCTTGGTTATGACCGAACTGTGAATCGAAGCTCTGACTAACCACGTCATGAAGGGCAGGATAAGGAGTCATCCCACAGCTTTACAGCCCTCAGCCCATCTGGAATCCTGCAGACATCCATGTGCCCTCATGTTCCCAAGGCGGGCAGAACTTTTACTACTGTGCGTACGAGTCCCGGGAATGGCTCCAAGAGATGAGAAGCACAGAGCCACAACGAAAAGGGGTAAAGTGACACCAGTGTGATGTCGACAGAAAGAAAAGGAAACTCTGCCCTTTTGGAAAGTTCCTGTTTTTTTCTTTAAAGAAAAAACTATATGTCTTTAAAAATATCATCTTTAAGAAACATCACATGAGAAGTAATAGAAAGTCATTTGTTGAGTGGAGATGAAGACAGTGGTGATTTGAATAGTCACTGAGGAACGTGAGGAAGTTCATTAGGGAACTAGTAGGCTTCTCAGGCAATTTCATGGGTCTCTTTGAAGTGGGTGACTACGAACTTAGAGGGACATCGAACTTCCCAATCCATTTCTGTCCAGCTCTCCCATGAGACTGGGTTCCTGGAAGGCTTAATTCATTTTGTGTCGTTGACATCTAGTCAGCTTCTGGCACAAAGCAGCTCATAAATGTTAGTGGAACTCAACTAGAAATGGCAATGTCCATAATGTCTGATGTATGACTTTCCTGGGGCTGCTGTAAGGAAGTACCACAAACTGAGTGGCTCAAACCACAGTTTATTGTCCCACAGTTCAGGAGGCCAGAAGTCTGAGACCAAGGTGTCGGCAGAGGCATGCTAGGGAAGGATCTGTTCCAGGTCTCTCTCCTAGCTTCTGGAATTTTCTTGGCTTGTGGGCAGTGTAACTCCAATAGTGACATGGCGTTCTCCTTGTTTGAATGTCTGTGTCCAAATTTTCCCTTTTCATAAGGACATCAGTCATATTTGATTAGAGAGGCCCTCCCTACCCCAGTATAACCTCACCTTAAACTTAACTACATATACTTACAACAACTTTATTTACAAATAAGGTCACAGTCTGAGATACTGGGGGAATAAGACTTCAACATATGGAATTTGGTAGGGGACACAATTCAACTTATAACATCTGGGCATAAATAAACTTTAAATAAATACTAGATTGTTCTACTAAAAAAAAAAAATCATGTGAAAAGAGTAAAGAATCCCCATCCACACACAAAAATTACCTTAACAGCCAGACTTTAGGAGCGATTTATTTCCTATAAGACTAGAGCTCAGGCAAAATGTCCATTCTCCCAAAAGGCACCACAGAATACTCATGCTAGACATGAATTTCACTAATTAAACCTACTTCGCAATTAAAAGCCAAGGTCTCAGGAGTCAATATAGTTCTGAATAAATCACGAAGGTCAATCAAGCAAAATCCAGTTCTTAAAGGAGCTCAACGTTTTCTGAAAGAGGCAACAAGACTCAGCCTACTTGAAAGAAGTACTAAATATTTATTGGTCTCAAAATCAGTCATTGCCAAACAACTGCAATGTGAGAGTGGGGAGAAGGTTAGCTATGATCTATAATATCATCCTTGGGTCTGGGAGCAAACCTTCTCTGGAGGGAGGTTAAGCTATCTTAGAAAAGAACAAGCTAGACACTGACATCTGTATTGTTCTTGGATCCAATCCTTGAATATTAACTTCTGTGTTTACCAGGAATCCAGATGGTGGCCTGTTTTTCATTTACTTAATGGCACTTAGTAGGACTATCTCCTTTTAAAGGTGCATGACTGCTCAATTCTGGGAGAAGAAAGACTTAAAGTTGGCTATCAAAAAAGAAGGATACACTTTATCTCAGAGAATAAAGGATCAGCAGATGAACAAGGCCCTTTTCCATCTTCTTACAGTCACATCTCCAACGATCTTCCAAGGACCACAAACCCCCTACTTCCAAGTACCACATCTGGAAAAGGGAGACTCCCTCATGCTCTGGCTCGTCTATGCTCACATGACAGGCAGTCGCCATTCCAGAGAAATCGAGTGAACAGTCGATGTTATAAAACTGGCTTTTGAACCCACAAGTCAGCATCAATAAATAAACAAGAGAAATCCAGCTTTTGACATCATTATCACTGTATGCTTTTCTGGACTTGAAAATTGTCACAAATCATCGTGTTTACTATTGGCATACATTGGCTAAAACTTGAAACAAAATGCTAGAAATTCTTAGTTTTTCTCTGATATGGGCCATTTTGAATTTTGTATGAATGAGCTTTCAGATTCAGGTTACAAATTAATCCAAGTTCATTATGTAATTAAATGTTTGATTAGGAGCAAGAATTAACATATTACACAAAAGCATAACATTTTATGAGACAAACTAATCGCAATAAAGAGATTCACCATGGTAACAAATCATCTGACCCATCCAATTCAAAATGTAATTCAAAATGATTTTTCAAGTTATCCAAAAATGTAGTTATCATTAAACAGATATACCAAAATATATGCCTGTATTGTAGAAATTAAAAAACAAAATACTTTGACAAAAGATGAGGGCATTTTAAATGTATATTTAAAAACATACAGAGAGTGAAGACCAAAGCTGAAATTCTGAAAAAAGGATGAAATATTTACAATTTTGTTGTAGCAAACACTATATGCCTTAATTTATTTTTTTTTAAACTTAGTGACATTTGGAAATGGCGCATTTAATGCATTTTAAATCTTTCCAGTTATCTTGATAAAATGGGATCTGGCTGGTAGCATTCAAACCAGAGACAGTTTTGTTTTAACTGCCAGACACAATCTCTATTAATCAATCCGAGGTCTTCAAATACAATTTAGTTTGCTACTTCAGGAGCTGGATGGCATGCAATTGCTCACAGATGTTTCTAATTACACCTTGATCCAATAATAACTAAATATTGTTTAAAGTTCTGGCAGTAACTACTTAGGCAGGTGCGCAAGATCAATAATTGAAAGTAACACTTCCAGGCATAAACCTGCATAAATTAGAACCTGAAGAAGACACAAAGGCACTTCAGTAGGTGGCACTATTCCCTCAGTCAGAACTCTCTTCATTATGCACAACTTGAGTACTCTATATTGCAATTACCTTTATTCATTTCTTCCACAGAATTCTGTTACCTAAATTAGTATCAACATACTGACCTCAAAGATGTTGCCCGGCTCCCTCTCTTTGAGATAAACAGCCCCGATAAAAAAACATCAGATAGCAGGTGCAAGAGTAGAAAAACAGCTTGATTTCATCTCAAATCCTTAGATAATTGGGTCAGCATAGTGTTATTTGTAAGTAAATTAATTCTCTGTATGCATTAAAGGCAACCCAAGTGATGTGACCTCTTCTCTTGATATTATCCAATGAGCTAATTTAAAATATTTAAACTAGCCAATGAGCAGGTTGCTCATCCTCAGCATTATTGACATCTGGGCCAGATAATTCTTCACTGGTGGTAGGTGGAGGACGTCCTCTGCATTTTAGAATGTTCAGCAGCATTCCTGGCATCTACCCACTAGATGCCAGTAGTACCTCCCCAGTTGTGACAGCCAAAAATGTCTCCAGACATTGTTAAATGTCCCCTGGGGACAAAATCATCCCATTTGAGAGCCATCAGTCAATGAGCATTCCTCCTTTATACTAAAGACAGATCTCTGGCTTCATGGCCAAGGATCAAGCTATTCCACTAGCACAATTTCAATAACAATGTTTATTATCCTTTTTACCTGACTTCAAAGGTTGATGCATGTGCATTGATGAAAATTTTGAAGCTATAAAAAGCATAAAGAAAACTAAAAGCTACCAGTAACTGTTTCATACTATAAGACTGTTACAATTTTAAATGTATCACCTTAGTTTTTTTTGCATAAAGATGCACATAGTATAAGTGATAATTATTTGATTTATTAAAGTCTGAGGACTCTATAGCAGTACTATGTTGTAAAAAGGTCTTTTTATCTCTAAATACATGCTCTGTCATTAAATACTCAATTAAGCTGATTTTTCATGGCTATATAGTATTCTTTCCAAAAGATATGACTATTTTTTTTTAACCAATCTCTTATATTGGACTTTTTATCTGATTCCAAAAGTTAACGTAAATTGCTTTTACTATGTTCTTGGGATAAATCCCCACAAATAGAAATTTTGAGTACTAACCTATTCTAGTCCCACCTTTACACAAAGAGAACAAAAGAGGAAAGGAAGAAACAGAGAAGGAAAAAAAAATGAAGAGGGGTAACAAAGAATGGAAGGAAGGGAGGGAGAGAGAGAGTGAAGGGAAAAGTAAGGAGGGATGGGGAAGAAAGAGGGTGAGGCAGAGCAAGAGAGAGAAGACGGAGCAATGGAGGGAAAGTGGGGGGTTAAGGGAAGGGAAGCTATTTCAGCAGAAGCTGATTCCGAAATGAATTTGCTGGCATCCTTCCCACTTTTCTTTTCTCCGACTTTGGACAGCTCATGTGGTTTGTCCTCATCAAAGATAAATACTGCTCTTGCCCACCATTCAGACAGCCTACACTTTGAATTATTTTCCTCATTCAACTCTTCCTGTGACCAGCATACATTGGTGAAATGGCTCCATAAAATAAAAGTGAGAAACCTTGAAAAACATTATGCTCAGTGAAAGAAGCCAGACACACAAGGCCACACATTGCATGATTCCATTTATGTGAAATATCCAGAAAAGGCAAATTCACAGAGACAGAAGGTAGATTAGTGGTTGCCAGGGGCTGGGGCACAGGGAATGAAGAGTGACTGCTTAATTGGTACGAGATTTCCTTTTGGGGTAATGAAAGTGTCCTGGAACTAGATGGTAGTGATGGTTGCACAACACTGTGAATGGACTAAATGCCACTGAATGACACACTTTAAAACGGTTAAAATGGTAAATTTTATGATGTGTGTTTTTAAAAAGTCATGAATGAAACAAACAATAAAAGAATCTCTTTTTTAAAAGCATTTGAGAATTGAGTTGAGGGGATTTTAAAAAATAAATAAAAATAAAAGCAAGAAAAGTAATAGCTATTTTATTGAGCACCCACTACCTGTTACTATCTTACTTGGTCTTCACAGCAACCTTGGGAAGGTGAGCATCATTCCCATTTTACAGATGCAGAAGGTTTAGTTGCTCAAGGATAGGCAACTACTGAAAGGTGGAATTAGAATTTGCTTCTGACTCCAAAAATCTGTGGCCAGGGAACACGACCAGGTTAACTAGGTGGATAAGATCCTTGACGATGGCCTTACACATGCATCAGCCAAGGGAATTAACTAGACACAGATCGTCCACATAGTCATCTAGGAAAGGAGAAAAGACCCTACACCGTCTGCCTGATTGAAATTTCTCATCTCAAAGATGGCACTATTTCTCAGCAGAAAAAGAAACAGAATGAAAACACAGAACATACAATTCTAAATCCTTTATCCACAACCATCTCATGAGCACAGTAAAGCCTTAATCTCCCACTTCTGCCAAATGAGACATAATCAACCAAATTAACTAGCCAGGTCAATGGGGCTGGGAGGGAATATAGCGAAAAAAATAGAAACTTTTATGTATATATGACTGACTTCAAAAATCATGTTTTCCTTTTTTTCCCCAGCTTTACTGAGATACAATTGACATAAAACATTGTGTAAGTTTAAGGTGTACACTGTGATGATTTGATACAAGTGTACATTCTGAAATGTTTACCACAATAAGGTTAGTTACATCCTTCACCTCATGTAATTACCATTTTGTTGTTGTTGTGATGGTGAAAACACTTAAGATCTATTCTTATAGAAACTTTCAAGTATAAATACAGTATTGTTAACTATAGTCACCATGCTGTACATTACATTCCCGGAACGTATTCATTTTATAACTGAAAATTTGTACCCTTCGACCAACTTCGCCCCATTTCTTCCAACCCCCAGCACCTGGTAACTATCAATCTGCTCTTTTTTTCTATGAGCTTGACATTTTTAAATTCCACGTATAAGTGAGATCATACAGTACTTGTCTTTTTCTGTCTGACTTATTTCACTCAGCATAATGCCCTCAAGGTCCATTCTTGTTATTGCAAATAGAAAACTTCCTTCTTTTTTTATTTTTTGGGGGTTTTTTAGTTTGCTTTTTTTTTTCGGTGAGGAAGATTGGCCTTGAGCTAACATTTGTTGCCAATCTTCCTCTTCTTCCTTGAGGAAGATTGTCCCTGAGCTAACATCTTTCCCAGTCTTCCTCTATTTTGTATGTGGGATGCTGCCACAGCATGACTTGATGAGTAGTATGTAGGTCTGCACCTGGGATCCCAACTGGTGAACCCTGGGCCACTGAAGTGGAGCACACGAACTTAACCACTATGCAACCAGGCCAGCCCTGAGAACTTCTCTTTTTTTATGGCTGAATAATATTCCATTATATGTATATATGTATACCACATTTTCTTTATCCATTCATCTGTCAGTGAACACTTAGGTTGTTTCTGTGTCTTGGCTATTGTGAATAATGCTGCAATGAACATGGGATATCTCTTCAAGATAATGAAGAAATCATATTTTTTCATGATGTTCATAGCCAAATAGCAAACAGATGAGGATGGTTAATAAATCAACACACCTCACATAAAGAACTTTCATTAACATTTCATGAACATTTCATTAATTCATAAAGGGTTATTAGCACCTTAATCAACTGCCTATTTTTTGTCTTTGTTATACAGAAAAAGAAATCTAGCCGATGCCTTCAGCAGTGATTGATTAGTTATACATACAGTAATATCTACTTCTCATGATTTGAACGGGACTCTCCAATGTGGTTCCTGTTGGGCTCAGTCAATCATAAAACACACTGGCAGCTCCCTCCAACCCTGATGGAGATGACGGAAGCTCACTTACATAAAAACTATGGTACATCATAGCATCAGAGTGTAAACTGTGTGGTCTGCAAATTTATACCCAAATAGACTATCTTATGAAGTGGTGGCATCTTCCCTGGTGGCACTTGATGCAGAAGTACTATACAAAAATGCTTAGGACACAATTACAGCAAAACCTAGGGTGATTGAAAGAGCAGTCTCCAGCAAGTCCAGCTATTCAAAACAACACTGAACAGGGGTGGGAGTCGGGGGGAGTGGTGTAGGGCATGAAAGCATCTCACTGAATCAAGAAAGAAACTCAGTTTTCCAGTCCCACACAGCTGCAAGGAGCTTTATCTTTTTACTTCAAAATGTTGCAATTAAATGAATCACTGCTCAGAAAAAAAAGAAAGAAAAAGAAGGAACCTCAGAGCAGCAAGGAAGACCTGAAGCTAAGGATGGGCATGTTTTAAAGAGGGAAAAGGGCAATTGTGAGAAATGCAGAACTCAGATTATTAGACTGTGAGAAACAATTTCAATTTATGCTTGCTGATTAATTAATGGAATGAGGTCTGAAAAATGGCTGGCAAATGTGGTGAGTAGTTTCTAAGATGGCCCCCAACAATCCTCATGACCTATTATTCATGCCCTTGTATAATCCTCTCCCCTTGAGTGTGGTCTAGACCGTGGTGTGACTGGCTTCTAAGGGGTCACTTCCAAGTTTAAGTTACAAAAAGACTCTCTTCTGTCTTGCTCATCCTCTCTCGCTCTCTCACTTGCTTGTTCTGATGGAAGCTAGCTGCGGTATGGAGAGCTGCCCCATGGAGAGGCTCTTGTGGCAAGAAATTGAGGAGGTCTCTGGCAGAGGCCTTTGGTCCAACCACCTGTAAGGAACTGAATCCTGCCAATAACCATCTAAGTGCGCTTGGCAGTGGACCCTCTCTCAGTTGAGCATTCAGATGAGACCACAGCCCCAGCCAACAGCTGGAGACACTCTGAAGCAGAGGCAGCCAGCTAAGCTGTGCTCAGATTCCTGAACCACAGAAACTGTGAGATATAAACATTTATTGCTTTGAGCCAGTAATTTTGGGGTAATTTTTATACAGCAACAGATAACTAGTACAACAGAATTTTCTGATAGTTCATTGGTTAATAAAGATAATCATTTCAGAAATTTAATATTCCTTTCTCTTGGACTTACCCATATATTAATGACCCCAAACAAATTTCCTACCTATTAAAACAGTTTCTTCTGCCTCTTTATGTGAATTAAGGATAATGGACTGTTTACGCTCCATTAAAAAAATCAATTGAGGGTTGGCACTTTCTCTCTTTGATTTAAATCTATTGGCTGGCTATCTTGAACTTCAGGGACATAAATCGACTAAGGAAATTATTAGTACTATTCGACCCCCTGAGAAAATTCAGACAAATATTCCCTCAATATTTTCAGCCCTGCCTTAACCTAAAACTATACATGGCAGTAATGGAGAATAACAGTGACAGAGAAACATTAAGTAGCAGGTTCATACATCACATGCCAGACCTTATCACACATCTTTACGGTAAACATGTTTCTCTTAGAGAAATTAGCTGTAAACTAAAGTGTATGCAGCAGAAAAATTCAACTCCCTTAAGGTAAATGGGTATTTCCTACTACTAAGCTTTTCTCATAATAGTGAGGGAAAAATGCAAAGCGAAGATGAGGATTTTT